CCCCAGCCAGGTCCTAATGAAAAGAATATCTGGGTTGCTGCATCTGCCCAACCTAAAAAATTAAATTAAATATATATATATATATATATATATATATATATGTACTAGCAAACCCGACGAACTCCGTTTCGCCACCAGATGGTTTCGTGAGAAGATGAAGAAAATTTTTTGTTTGTTTTATATTTGAAAAGGAATTTTTTTTTTTATTACACAACAGGAATGAATTTATTTCGATACAAAAATGAAGTGTTTTATAGTTGAACTTCTCTAAGTGAATAAAAGTAAATCCGCAAATTATCCGTTTCATGGAAGTGGTCTTTGGTAAACCACATTTTTTTTTTTTTTGGTCTGACGTTAACACAAACAAGCGGATGGATTTCCAACTCGTGAACAGGAAACGTATAACTGCCCATGTGAAAAACAATGATTTTCTAAATAATCTATTTGAAATTTATCCCGCAAACAATAAGCGATTGGCCTTGAGACTTGTTATTGCGAACTGGAAATTGCAATCGTTTGAAGTCAAACGGAAGACCAATCGGAATCATTGGTATGTCACCAAATCGCCAGCAATTTTTGATTAAATGATGAAATTCAGTGCGTGTACATCATTATTCTTTGCGGCAAGAATTGCTCGTTGACTTAACAAGCATAATTCTGATAATTCTCACTAATGTCATTACTCGAATTTTTAATTACAGTTTGTGAAGTTCCTGGAATTTGCATTGAGGCACGATGCCATGCACCACTAATTTTCTTAGCTATTAACCTTGCGGAGCCCGAGACCTTTCCGACGAATGCAAAATTGTCGAAATCGGTTCGTGCGTTTTTGAGTTATATCGTCAGGAAGGAAAACCCGACTTATTTTTATATATATGTAGATATTCATAATTTGTATTTATCAAGTTTACCCTAAGTTCTAGTAGTTGTTCCCATTTTGGATTGATATAATAGTTGATTCCGTTCCATGCTCCTGGTAAAGTAACTCCACGGACAAAAAGTGAGAACAGCACCAGGTATGGAAAAAGTACTGTGAAATAAAACAACTTTGCCAACAGTGCTGATACCTTTCCTGATGCATAAGTATACTACAACCCAACTGATTGTACTTGTTATCAACAAAGGCCAGACTATTGTTCCTTGTTCATGGATTCCAGATGAAATGTGCAGAATCTCATTGCTAAAATACAAAAAAACATCATACACCAAGTTTGAATTATTATTATTATTTATAACCCACTAAGTATTATACGTAATACTACGTAATTTTAGTGTAAGAAATATGTAATCTACATTATGTAATTCGATTACGTAATTTGCCTGCAAAAATATTACGTAAGATAAATTAGGATTTTATTAACTTCCCGTAAGGTAAGTTATTGTAATGTAAAAATGAAAATTTTACATTTCTCGACGTTTTGAAGGTTTCTGAACATTTTGGCATACCTCATTATCAGAAAAAATGGATGTGTGTGTGTATGTATGGATACAATTTTTCGGTCACGTTTTCGGGTGCACGGATCAACCGATTTGAATGATTAAAAAAACATTCGATTCCTATTGATAGGGAGATGTGCTGATTATTTTTGGCAAAGGCAGGTCCAGCCGTTACGGAGATACGGAGCAAAAAGTGCAAAAAATTCAAATCGAGTTTTAAATGATCTAAAAAACATTCAATTTGTAATGATTGGGAGAAGAGGTGATTAGTTTTTGGCAAAGACAGGTCCCGCCATTTCGAAGATACAGAGCTAAATGTGCAAAAAATGGCAGTTTTTGAGTGAACTAAGCATCCGATTTGAATGATCTAAAAAAAATTCTGCTTGTATTGACAAAACAGTTGATTTTGAGGATAAAAAATTATTACATCTTTTTTTATTTTCCGTAAAATATTTTTGTAATTTTAGATTAAAAATTCAAAAAATTACGCAGGCTAAGCACAGTCTAAGCGCCACTCTGGCACAAATGTTTACCCAAGTGCGTTTAGACTGTGACTATACGGGAGCAATCTTGTGTAAATTAGGCAACTATTTTTTTGAAATTGAATTCGAAATGAAATGACAATTGTTAATGTTCTGGAGATAAATTGATAAATAAAAAAGATAGCAAGAATGATGAAAGCTTCAGTATTTGTAATAATATATTTGAAAACGTTTAAATTTTCTCGAATATTTCATTACGGTACGGGAAGTTCCAGCAATTTGCCTTAAGTCACGATGCCATACACCACTAGTTACTTTATGGGTTTGCTAATGTTAAAATTGTGTACATACGCCGAAAAAATAATCATACCATATAAATGTGCTTTTTCTTTTATTCTACAGATAGTATATACACAGTAACCGTGTGGGCTTAAAAACGAACCCACTGCCTGCCTATAAAAAAGAGCCCACCCATCTAAAAATTAGCTTCCGACGCCACTGTATATATATATGTGTGTGTGTATGTATGTGTGTGTACATACATATATATTACATATGTATGTATACGCATTTCTAAGTTTATGAATTAGTGTGCTCATATCTACGCATATGTGTGTATGCAGTGGCGTCGGAAGCAAATTTTTTATGGGTGGGCTCGTTTTGTTTTTTTTTTTGATAGACTGTATGCATTTATGAATGTGTGTAAAAAAGTGCGTCTTAACGCCATTTTTTTTTCAAAAACTACGTAATAATTACGAAATATTTTCGTAATCCATATTACGTAATCCACATTATTTAAAATAGGCGAAATTATTACACATTTTTGCATTAATCTTACGTAAAAATGACGTGAGTATGTAACTTTTCTTACGTAAAATTACATAAACATTACGGATTTTGGCTTACTGAAAAAATTGTTCAGCTGGTGTCTGTAAATTTGTTGCTCTCCAAGTAGTGTTTTTAGAAAACCTTGTAGTACCTAACTGAAACAAAATAAAAACGGTACAGTAACAATTGGCGATTGCAAGAAATCTGTACAAACCTTGGAACACCTTTCATCATTCCATTTTTGGTTACAATCAACCCAAGGAAGTTTCTTCGCCATACTATAGTACAAAAATAGTAGAGGATAGGCCAAGATTACATTGTAGTAGATGGTACAAATCAAATTGACCATAACCATGCAGTACCTAAAACCAGAAAAAATAAAATAAACTCTGTATGGTGTTTAGGGGTTCCAAATTCCTTTACCCCATTCCTTTAAACAAAGGCGATATTTTGAACATGGTGATGCACCCAGTTCCTGAAAACTGTCCTATGCAAAGTTCCATGAAGAACAGGGGAAGTCCACATAATGGTAACATGAGAAAATAAGGTACCAAGAAGGCTCCTGGAAAAACACAAAGCCAATATTTTTTCAGCAAGTTTGTCTCATGAAATTTCTACAAACCTCCTCCATTTCTGTAGCAAAGGTAGGGAAATCTCCAGACATTTCCTATTCCTACGGCGTATCCTAGACAGGATAATATGAATTCGGTTTTGTTTGCCCAGTTGCCCCTGGAGGAGGCCACACTCTCCGCATCCTAGGATAAAGGATAAAGGATAAATTTTCAGGTAACACAGGAATTATTTAAAACCAAGATTTTTTAGTAGTCACTTAAATGATTTGGTAAATTCAACTATCTATTTTTTTGGTATCTATTTTTTCCTCAAACTTTATATTACCGTAGACAGAGCTGTAGAACTCATGAGGTAGTTGTCCAATTAACATCACATTAATAATTTTAATAAAAAACTAAATAAAAAATCTTATAAATAAATATTTACAAAAATAAAATCTGACGTTTTGCATTTGTCAAAAAACGTGTTTAAAAAACGAGAAAAACATGTTGAAAAATAAATAAATAAAGTCGATAATAAACAAAATTTTATATATAAAAAAATTATAAACAAATTATAATTAATTAAACTATTTTTAAAATTATTTTATCAAAAATATTACTGAAAGTTGATTGAAAAAGTGTAAAATTATCAACTGATTTGTTTTATTAAATTATTTCAAAAATTTAAATTTATTTTAAATAATTTAGAAAATTAACTTTTCTTAAACTAAATTTTAAAGTATAAAAAATTTTCATAAACAGTCGAATATAAATAGAGTCACATTTATTACTTCTATGATTTTTTCATATTAATTAGACAAAGATTTTACCTAAAAAAATATATAGTTTGCACAAAAATGTATTGTTATAGTGTTTGGAAATCACTGCTTTAATAACTAAAATTGTTAAGTAAAAAATAAATTTATACATATAAATTTAGTATTTTCAAACAGAAACCACATATTTTACTCAAAACAACGAACATTTTGTACCAAATTTTTATGACGAAGGTTGTAAATCACTGCTCTAATATAATAATTATACTTTTTACGATATTTCAGATTTATAAATTTTATTTATTTACTTCACATTACTTTTTTTCCTTTAGGCATTTCCTAGACCTCCTTCGAGTTGAAATCTCGTAATCCAACTGGTTAAAAAAATTCATTCTGCTCGTTTTATTAAATAATTTGAATACATAATTTTTTCAATTTACGAGAATTAAACCACTTGTTATTAAATCAGAACCGCAACACACGAGTCTTTTGTTGGATGGGCCCCATTATAATCAAATTATTCAATATTAATAATCTGATGTCAAATTGTGCAACTGGTGACCTAATTTAAAAGAAGGTCTGTAGAAATTATTAGTAGCAAGATAAATAATGTATTGTTATAGAAATTGGATTACTATCTAGGTGTAAGTGGCGTTATCTTTCGAATAATCAAATGGTTTTTAAATTTTTAGAACCGGTTCAGCCATTTTTGAAGTCGATGAAATGTCAAAAATTTGGCTCACGTACACACACAACACATACTTCTAAATTTGGCCCCAAACTATTCAGAATGACTTGAAACGTCGAAAAAACATAAAATTGGCAAATCAGAGAAAAACATAATCTCTTTCGGGAAGTTAAAAGTATCAATTTATATAATAAATCAAATATCAAAAACTTACTGACAAAATGGCGCCCTGCCGAAGCTCAACTTTAACACTTCTTTAAAAACATGTTTTTTTCAGATATAAAGTTTTCCAGATTTATAATTCCACTTGCAGTGTGTAAAATGTATCCAAACGTACACGATTATTGTAAAATGTGTAAAACTACCATAAATCTATTATTAACAGAAATCATAATTTGAGTATAACAAACTTACACACAAAATGTCGTTTGCATAAACCCAACCGTGACAATACTGTTTTCGGGAATATAGAGTCCACCGGATTTTTAAAACCACTTGCAAATTATTGTAAATAAGTACACGTATGTAAAAGATTATTGTAAAACGTGTAGAAAAAAAAAATTGGTTTAAAACACTGCTTTTTATTAAATTCTGTACACCAAGAAAATTTAACTGACGTCCATGTTGCAATCTCACAGGACATTAGCCAGAAGTTGGTGTTGCATGATGATACCAAATAGATTTGTTGGACAAAACAAAAATATAAATAAATAATTAATTACACAAAATTATTTGTGAAAAGTTTTAAAAACAATTTTGGTATAAATATTTTAGTTATAGTATTATTTGTCGCTATTAATTAATTAAAAATTATTTTGTTTTAATATTAATTTCTTGGTATGTTGGTACATCCGAAGGAACTTCACGTTGTTGCATTTTGCAATTACAAATGTCTTCGCGTACTTCTACTTTCAAACATTGTATTTTATTTTAATTTCCATCATTTTAACAAAGTGCTGTATATCTATTCCAATTCTGCTCTGTTTTATAATTCAAAACCCACACATTTAAAATCAAAATCGATACACTCGGCGTCCATGTAGTCGTCGAGCCGCCTCAGAAATTGCGAAATGAGTCACTCAGAACAAAAACTGGCAGACGCACACATCGCGCCCGCAGAATTTCTCTTTATTTAAAAAAACATCGAAAAAAATGTCATTTATCCAAATGACACATCTGGAACAAAATCTAAACTATTGTGCTTGTTGTATAATAAAACCGTTCAGAGTTTGTTAATGGTAAATAGTAAGTTTATGATTATGTGTACGTTTATAACCTATGACTTATAATGACATTTGTATGTAAAATTTTTATGTTTATTATTTTTTGAATTTAAAGTGTTTTTTGTTTGGTTTTCAATATTTTCGTGTGTTTTCTTTTAGTGTGGCGTAGTGTTCTAGGATTTAGTGACCTTGGTTATGGATTTTTTTTTGATTCGATAAAATATAAGAGGTATGGTGCACATTTATTAAATATGTCAAAAATGGCATTTAGTACATACAATTTTATGCATTAATTTCTCTATTTTTTACTAAAATTAAACTTGTAACTATTTTTTCATGTTCAAACATTTTGATTTTTGCTCGCAATTTTATACGATTTACAAGTTTGACAATTTTTTTCGTCATGATTTTGTTCTAAAAGTTGGAAGTCGTTAAATGCAGTTATGTAGAGAATTTTGTAAGATTTTCATATATGTAAAAGAAAATTTATGTGCTTATACAAATTTTTGCACAATTTAAACAAAAAACGTACAAACATTTTAGTCGCAAAGTTACACAATTTTAAAGTTTGACGATTTTTTACTTCATGATTTTGTTCCAAAAGTTGAAAATTGGTAAATTCAGTTATATAGAGAATTTTACAGGCTTTTCATTTATGCAAAGTAAATTTATGTGCTTAAACAAGTTTTTGCACAATTTAAACAACAGTCAAAAAACGTACAAACATTTTGTTTGCAAAGTTACACAATTTTAAAGTTTGACGATTTTTTTCGTCATGATTTTATCCCAAAAGTTGAAAATCGTTAAATTCATTTATGTAGAGAATTTTATAAGCTTTTCATATATGTAAAATAAAATTTGTGTGCTTAAACAAGTTTTTGCACAATTTAAACAACAGTCAAAAACGTACAAATATTTTGTTCGCAAAGTTATACGAATTTAAAGTTTGACGATTTTTTTCGTCATGATTTTATCCCAAAAGTTGAAAATCGTTAAATTCATTTATGTAGAGAATTTTATAAGCTTTTCATATATGTAAAATAAAATTTGTGTGCTTAAACAAGTTTTTGCACAATTTAAGCAACAGTCAAAAACGTACAAATATTTTGTTCGCAAAGTTATACGAATTTAAAGTTTGACGATTTTTTTCGTCATGATTTTATCCCAAAAGTTGAAAATCGTTAAATTCATTTATGTAGAGAATTTTATAAGCTTTTCATATATGTAAAATAAAATTTATGTACTTAAACAAGTTTCTGTACAATTTAAACAAATGTTAAAAATTGCAAACATTTTATACTGAAGTTTGTACTTTTCAATGGGTTGATTATTTTCTTGACCTTTATTCAAAAAGTAAATTCATCAAATCATATAATTGAATTGTTTTGCAAATCCTTTAAAATTTTGCTCAGATATTCACATTTGTGTCCAAATTAATAATTAATAAATAAGTATACTAATTTATATTTATATTTCCTTTACCAGAAAAAGGGTTTTCCCCGAATTGGTTTATTAATTGGCACCAGTAGTGATGCATCAGGAGGATGGCGACCAATATCGATGACAATTTGGACTCGATGCCCGATTGGCAATATGCCAGATTGGGCATATCACTCCTTCTCAACAATCAGGCCGAAAGGGCCGAGAGGATGTTCCAGAAAAGGCCAGATAGTACGCAAGTTAAGGCCGCCAATGGATTTCTCTTGTTCATGGTAAGAGGGTAAATGTTTACTGAACATCGGGGTAGTTAAATATCTTGTGTTCTTTATGACTTTAAAGGCTTCTCTAGAATTCCTAAATGTTTTAGGAATTTTTAAGCAACTATGGCTAATTTGTCTCAATAGCTATTTCTGGTATAGAATACTTGAGGGCTTCTCTAGATCATGGGAAATGTTTTAGGGAATTTTAAACAACAAAGGCCAATTTGTCTTCAAATGTTTTCTGAACTTGTTTATCATGTTTTACCAACTGGTGACTAACCTTAGATATCCTCAAGTACTTTTTTTACACGAGGTTTTCAAAAAGGCTTTTACCTAATAGCTATTTCTGGTGTGGAAGGGCTTCTCTAGAACTTGGTAAATGTTTTGGGGATTTTTAAGCAACTATGGCCAATTTGTCTTAATAGCTATTTCTGGTGTAGAATGCTTAAGGGCTTCTCTAGATTTTCTAAATGTTTTAGGGAATTTTAAACAACAATGGCCAATTTGTCTTCAAATGTGTTCTGAACTTGTTTATCATGTTTTACCAACTGGTGACTAACTTTAGATATCCTTTTTCATATCAGGCTTCCAAAAAGGCTTTTTTCTAATAGCTATTTCTGGTGTAGAATACATAAGGGCTTCTCTAGAACTTGGTAAAGGTTTTAGGGATTTTTAAGCAACTTTGGCCAATTTGTCTCAATAGCTATTTCTGATGTAGAATACTTAAGGGCTTCTCTAGAACTTGGTAAATGTTTTAGAAATTTTTAAGTAACTATGGCCAATTTGTCTCAATAGCTATTTCTGGTGTAGAATACTTAAGGGTTTCTCTAGATCTTGGGAAATGTTTTGGGAATTTTTAAGCAACTATGGCCAATTTATCTCAATGGCTATTTCTGGTGTAGAATACTTAAGGGCTTCTCTAGAACTTGGTAAATTTTTCAGGGATTTTTAAGCAACTATGGCCAATTTTTTTCAATAGCTATTTCTGGTGTAGAATACTTAAGGGCTTCTCTAGAACTTGGGAAATGTTTTAGGGTTTTTTAAGCAACTATGGCCAATTTATCTCAATGGCTATTTCTGGTGTAGAATACTTAAGGGCTTCTCTAGAACTTGGTAAATGTTTTAGGGATTTTTAAGCAACTTTGGCCAATTTGTCTCATTAGCTATTTCTGGTGTAGAATACTTAAGGGCTTCTCTAGATCTAAGGAAATATTTTAGGAATTTTCAAGCAACTATGGCCAATTTGTCTCAAAAGCTATTTCTGGTGTAGAATGCTTAAGGGCTTCTCCAGATCTTGGCAAATGTTTTGGGAATTTTTAAGCAACTATGGCCAATTTATCTCAATGGCTATTTCTGGTGTAGAATACTTAAGGGCTTCTCTAGATCTAAGGAAATATTTTAGGAATTTTAAACAACAAAGGCCAATTTGTCTTCAAATGTTTTCTGAACTTGTTTATCATGTTTTACCAAATGGTGACTAACTTTAGATATCCTTTTTCATATCAGGCTTCCAAAAAGGCTTTTTTCTAATAGCTATTTCTGGTGTAGAATACTTAAGGGCTTCTCTAGATCTTGGGAAATGTTTTGGGAATTTTTAAGCAACTATGGCCAATTTATCTCAATGGCTATTTCTGGTGTAGAATACTTAAGGGCTTCTCTAGAACTTGGTAAATTTTTCAGGGATTTTTAAGCAACTATGGCCAATTTTTTTCAATAGCTATTTCTGGTGTAGAATACTTAAGGGCTTCTCTAGAACTTGGGAAATGTTTTAGGGTTTTTTAAGCAACTATGGCCAATTTATCTCAATGGCTATTTCTGGTGTAGAATACTTAAGGGCTTCTCTAGAACTTGGTAAATGTTTTAGGGATTTTTAAGCAACTATGGCCAATTTATCTCAATGGCTATTTCTGGTGTAGAATACTTAAGGGCTTCTCTAGATCTAAGGAAATATTTTAGGAATTTTGAAGCAACTATGGCCAATTTGTCTCAAAAGCTATTTCTGGTGTAGAATGCTTACGGGCTTCTCCAGATCTTGGCAAATGTTTTGGGAATTTTTAAGCAACTATGGCCAATTTATCTCAATGGCTATTTCTGGTGTAGAATACTTAAGGGCATCTCTAGATCTAAGGAAATATTTTAGGAATTTTAAACAACAAAGGCCAATTTGTCTTCAAATGTTTTCTGAACTTGTTTATCATGTTTTACCAACTGGTGACTAACCTTAGATATCCTCAAGTACTTTTTTTACACCAGGCTTTCAAAATGGCTTTTACCTAATAGCTATTTCTGGTGTGGATTACATAAGGGCTTTTCTAGAACTTGGGAAATGTTTTAGGAATCTTTAAGCGACTATGGCCAATTTGTCTCAATAGCTATTTCTGGTGTAGAATACTTAAGGGCTTCTCTAGATCATAGGAAATATTTTAGGAATTTTCAAGCAACTAAGGCCAATTTGTCTCAATAGTTATTTGTGGTGTAGAATACTTAAGGGCTTCTCTAGATCTAGGGAAATGTTTTAGGAATTTTTAAGCAACTATGGCCAATTTGTCTTAATTGCTATTTCTGGTGTAGAATACTTAAGGGCTTCTCTAGATCATAGGAAATATTTTAGGAATTTTCAAGCAACTAAGGCCAATTTGTCTCAATAGTTATTTGTGGAGTAGAATACATAAGGGCTTCTCTAGAACTTGGAAAATGTTTTAGGGAATTTTAAACAACAATAGCCAATTTCTCTTCAAATGTTTTCTGAACTTGTTTATTATGTTTTACCAAATGGTGACTAACTTTAGATATCCTTTTTCATATCAGGCTTCCAAAAAGGCTTTTTTCTAATAGCTATTTCTGGTGTAGAATACTTAAGGGCTTCTCTAGAACTTGGTAAATGTTTTAGGAATTTTTAAGCAACTATGGCCAATTTATCTCAATGGCTATTTCTGGTGTAGAATACTTAAGGGCTTCTCTTGATCTTGGGAAATGTTTTAGGAATTTTTAAGCAACTATGGCCAATTTGTCTTAATAGCTATTTCTGGTGTAGAATACTTAAGGGCTTCTCTAGATCATGGGAAATGTTTTGGGAATTTTTAAGCAACTATGGCCAATTTATCTCAATGGCTATTTCTGGTGTAGAATACTTAAGGGCTTTTCTAGAACTTGGTAAATGTTTTAGGGATTTTTAAGCAACTATGGCCAATTTGTCTCAATAGCTATTTGTGGTGTAGAATACTTAAGGGCTTCTCTAGATCATAGGAAATGTTTTAGAAATTTTTAAGCAACTAAGGCCAATTTGTCTCAATAGCTATTTCTGGTGTAGAATACTTAAGGGCTTCTCTAGATCATAGGAAATATTTTAGGAATTTTCAAGCAACTAAGGCCAATTTGTCTCAATAGTTATTTGTGGAGTAGAATACATAAGGGCTTCTCTAGATCTTGGGAAATGTTTTAGGAATTTTTAAGTAACTATGGCCAACTTTTCTCAATATCTATTTCTGGTGTAGAATACTTAAGGGCTTCTCTAGATCATGAGAAATGTTTTAGGGATTTTTAAGCAACTATGGCCAATTTGTCTTAATAGCTATTTGTGGTGTAGAATACTTAAGGGCTTCTCTAGATCATGGGAAATGTTTTAGGGAATTTTAAACAACAAAGGCCAATTTGTCTTCAAATGTTTTCTGAACTTGTTTATCATGTTTTACCAACTGGTGACTAACCTTAGATATCCTCAAGTACTTTTTTTACACCAGGCTTTCAAAATGGCTTTTACCTAATAGCTATTTCTGGTGTGGATTACATAAGGGCTTTTCTAGAACTTGGGAAATGTTTTAGGAATCTTTAAGCGACTATGGCCAATTTGTCTCAATAGCTATTTCTGGTGTAGAATACTTAATGGCTTCTCTAGATCATAGGAAATTTTAGGAATTTTCAAGCAACTAAGGCCAATTTGTCTCAATAGTTATTTGGTGTAGAATACTTAAGGGCTTCTCTAGATCTAGGGAAATGTTTTAGGAATTTTTAAGCAACTATGGCCAATTTGTCTTAATTGCTATTTCTGGTGTAGAATACTTAAGGGCTTCTCTAGATCATAGGAAATATTTTAGGAATTTTCAAGCAACTAAGGCCAATTTGTCTCAATAGTTATTTGTGGAGTAGAATACATAAGGGCTTCTCTAGATCATGGGAAATGTTTTAGGGATTTTTAAGCAACTATGGCCAATTTGTCTCAATAGCTATTTCTGGTGTAGAATACTTAAGGGCTTCTCTAGAACTTGGTAAAGGTTTCAAGGATTTTTAAGCTGCTATGGCCAATTTTTCTCAATAGCTATTTCTGGTGTAGAATACTTAAGGGCTTCTCTAGAACTTGGGAAATGTTTTAGGGATTTTTGAGCAACTATGGCCAATTTTTCTCAATAGATATTTCTGGTGTAGAATACTTAAGGGCGGCTTCTCTAGAACTTGGTAAATGTTTTAGGGATTTTTGAGCAACTATGGCCAATTTTTCTCAATAGCTATCTGGTGTAGAATACTTATGGGCTTCTCTAGAACTTGGAAAATGTTTTAGGGAATTTTAAACAACAATAGCCAATTTGTCTTCAAATGTTTTCTGAACTTGTTTATTATGTTTTACCAAATGGTGACTAACTTTAGATATCCTTTTTCATATCAGGCTTCCAAAAAGGCTTTTTTCTAATAGCTATTTCTGGTGTAGAATACTTCTCTAGAACTTGGGAAATGTTTTAGGAATTTTTAAGCAACTATGCCCAATTTGTCTCATCAGCTATTTCTGGTGTAGAATACTTAAGGGCTTCTCTAGAACTTGGTAAATATTTTAGGAATTTTTAAGCAACTATGGCCAATTTGTCTCAATAGCTATCTGGTGTAGAATACTTAAGGGCTTCTCTAGATCTAGGGAAATGTTTCAAGAATTTTCAAGCAACTATGGCCAATTTGTCTTAATAGCTATTTCTGGTGTAGAATACTTAAGGGCTTCTCTAGATCATAGGAAATGTTTTAGAAAT